AACAGTCATTCTTGTCACTACAAACATCGATCCCCTCCTTGACATAAGCATCTTTTCATCGAAAACATCCATGCATCCCTTGACATGAAGATGAGAGATCGAAACACTTGCAAGATCACTATTATATAAGTGGGAGGGATGGACGGAGGGAAACACTTGCAAATTGCCTGTTGTTTTTGCAAAGGTCCAATTGAAGCAAAGTGCGAGTGAACTCTCACTTAAGTGGATTGCTCGGGGTTCACACCACTAGTGTGCGTGAACTCGCACTTAGATGGAGAGCAAGGTGCGCACACCATCAGCATGATTATTTAATATGGACGTTGGCTTGTCACTTGTATATTCCAAGGTGAAAATATCATCAAATCTTTGCATGGATAATAAATATCACATCCGTTCATAACATTAACTTTTGTCATCGCAACATCGAGATGAAAACACTTGCAACTTGAGCTTTTGTTTTCCTGAAGGTCAAGTTGTACACCGGAGGGAGAGTTTCAAAAAATCGTTCAATGCAAAAAAAACATTCAACCGCACATTGCGAAGTACGCAACGGTGTTTTCAAAAACCATTCACTGCAAAAAATTATTCAATCACACATTGCACAGTACACAGAGGTTTTCCAAAAATCGTAAATTACAGAACTACGAACATACTCGGTATAGCGTCTACTTGCAACTACTGCCTCTCACACCTCTCTCTACTGCTTCATGTCTACCATTTTCGGCTACACACATGCCTCTCACACCTCTTGCTCCCTTTTCCCTTAAACACAAGGTCTGACAACCCGTCAAGATCTAGTGACATACGGGGTTTTCCGCGGACGAGGTCGTTAACTAAAGCCATACATAGCATTCATTGATGATCCATATATGTGGATCTGCGGTTCCTCGACTGTTGCATTCTCCGAAAATACGGACATGTATTTCATCCTAACAAACCCTCCCGGTCGTGCTAAGGAATTTCCTATAAAGTCTCGTATGTCGGACACTTTCTCTTCCACCTCACGCCACAATGAAAAATCTTCGAATTGGCCTGCTATCACTAAATCTGACCACCCATCTGCACCGAGGTACCGCAACGACACGAACTTGTTCCGCGAACTTCCCCGCCTTCCCTCAAGTACCACCTCGTTTCGTGATACACGCACAAGTTCATCGACGAGTTTCCTTCTTTTGTTCGAAGTAGCGACACATAGCACTCTGGCGAAATCACATCCGACAACAGTCAACCGCACACCACAGTATGACACAACTTGTGGAGAAATCCAGAGGCAACGGAGTGGGTACTGCTCCAAGAATGAACAATGACGAGCGCAGTCCACCAACTTTTGTTTCCGCGAACTTCCCCAAGTTCGTGGCGAATGTCGTCGCAGTCGAAGCGACTACTATAGCGGCTAATGCAGCGTAGTGTTTTGCGCATATGGTTCAGGAACTTGTGCTCGAGGACACCATCAGGCAGTGTAATGAGGTTCCCGAACTCTAACATATTGGCAAACTTGTAATGGCTTGCCCAAGGGCAACCACTTTCCATCGCGTTCCAAGTAGCATCGCTCCAATCGTCAAGATGCCGGTTCATGTACGGGACGACAGTCATCCATGGGTCCTCTTCGAAGTCCTCTTTGGTTACTTCGTGGATCCTAGTATGACCGTTATAATGTCGCACCGATTTCGCGCAAGGAGGAAACGGTTCTACTAAACGCATGTGCGTCTCGAGACTCGTGCTCATGCTTGTCGATGTTCTAGACAACATTATGCACCCTACACATCACACACATATATTAAACGATACATACAGACATGTAGACACTCATAAATAAAGTTGGCAAATGATAACTCCCCTGGTGAAGCCTACACCCATTCGTCACGTCCCTAACTGAATATTCACAAGGTTTGTACATGCTTTCAAGTACACACACTGCACAACCACACGAGCATGCAGCTCTGCGCGATGTGTTCGTGTAACTGCCTTTTTTCCTCCTAATCAAATGACATTTTCTCCATTCCTAACTCCCACTGATGGTACATGCCTATCTAAGCTAAACTAGCTACAACACGTTTAACATCGGGATTTGTGAATATCCAACAAATGATTACATAAAAATGTGCAATCTTTTTAGTCGAATTGTTTGGAGTCAGTGCAAAAACAAATCGTTCGAGGTCTGTGGTGGCGTTCCTGTTGGACCAGGATCTGTTTCGAGCAGAGTTTCGCATTCCACAAACAGAATTGAACTCCAGGCCCCCCATGTTATCAGTTTTTGGACAGTCTTTGTTGCTCAGTCGCAACTGGGGCTAGGTTGGTGGTCGTTTCTGTTGAATGGCATATAAGCGAAGTGCGAGTGAACTCTCACTTAAGTGGATTACTTGGGGTTCACACAACAAGTGCGAGTGAACTCGCACTTAGATGGAGAGTTAGGTGCGCACACCATAGGCGTGGTGATTTAATGTGGACGTTTGCATGGACAAATCCATAACATCGATTTATATCATTCAGTCTTGTCATCGCAAACAAAGATCCCCTCCTTGACATAATCATCTTTTCATCGAAATGCATGCCATGACATGAAGATTAGAGATCGAAACACTTGCAACATCACTATTATGAAAGTCAGAGGGATGGAGAGAGGGCAACACTTGCAAGTTGCCTGTTGTTTTTTCAAAGGTTAAGTTGAAGCAAAGTGCGAGTGAACTCTTACTTAAGTAGATTGCTCGGGGTTCATACCACAAGTGCGCACACCACAAGTGCGAGTCATCAAATCTTTGCATGGACAAGATACATAACATCCATTCATATAATTAACTCTTGTCATCGCAAACATCGAGATGGAGACACCTGCAAGTTGCCTAGTGTTTTTCTAAAGGTCAAGTTGTACACCACATGGAGAATTTTCATAAATCATTCAATGCAAGAAAATCATTCAATCGCAAATTGCAAAGTACACAGAGGCGTTTCCAGAAATCATTCAATGCAAGAGAACATTCAATCCCACATTGCAAAGTACACAGAGGCTTTCCAAAAATCACAAAGTACATGAAGCCTTTCCAAAAATCATTGAAGGATACGTTCTAAGGTACATGTAGGCTTTCCAAAAATCATTCAAGCCCACGTCGAACAGTCTACATGACATGCCCTCATCTACACAAGACGCTTCCGAAAAGTCTATATGACACACCCTCGTCGCCAAAACCACGAGCCGTCGAACACAGGCTCTACATACTACGGTCATGTCGAACACAAGCTCAACCGAAGTCCAACACAAGCCGAAAAGTCCTACATTACACTTGAAACAAACCCTACCTCAAAATTTAATACAAACATGTCGAACACAAGTTCAACGGAAGTCCTACACAAAAGTTGATTCAAGTCGAAGACCTACACAAATGCTGATTCGTGTTGAAGTCCTACATTAGACAAAAGCTCATCCAAGCCCGACACGATGTTCACCTGCCTACACAAGTCCCACACAGAAGCGCTTGGATATAGCCAGACCTATTGCAAGATGGTAAATGCGAGTCTATTCGCATATGGAATCCGGATATCCTGAGACGATGACTATCTTCGTATCATGCGTCGCGTGAAAAGAGTTAGTACGATCTCCATGGTAGCAGCATGTACAGTCTTCGAGAAGCCTGCCACGATCGTCGTCGTCACGCTCATTAATGTCGAAGTCGACTAAAAGGATTTGGTTCGAATTCGGGCCTGAAGATATGCTTCGATATTTGGCAAGGCGCGCACGAGTATATCTCTTAAAATTTCATTCAAATTGCTCGAGTTATGGATTTGGAACGCGTAACGGTCTCCCAGAACGGCGGACTGTCACCATCTTCTCTCCGTAGAACAGCGGACTGTCATCATCATCGGCAACCAGAAGGTAGCGGTATCTGGGAATCCAAGTGTTGCCAAACCACTCTAAACCACAAATGTTCTCCGATGTGGTAACATTCAAAGAAATTCAAAGGGATGTAAGCATAGTGCGAGTCTAACGCCGTTAGTGAAGATGTAGATGTCCAGCATTGAAGTAAGGGAAGTCGCACACATATCTCGTCTTCCCGTTGCGCAGTATCACATCCTGAGGTCCGGAGGTTGAATAATCCAGACGACAGTAAACAAATCGCAATTCGTTGTCCCTATGTTCGACTGTGAAATTTATTTCGTCGCAGCTATCCAAAGAGATAGTTAAGTTGTTGGTGCATTTAGCAGTCAACCCTCAAATCTAGCTCATCTTTGAGTGCATGATCTATGGCTAACCTTTTTTTGAACCGCGCAAAGGAACCACTAGGGCCGGATGTGTGAAACACTTGAAAAGAAGAGAGTTTGACACCGTGAAATTCCTCCCTTGCTAGGAAAAGAGGTCTTATTCTTCGACCGCCCACCTTCATGGCAGTGAAGAGCGTCACCACGGTGGTGCCACGATTACACACCCTCACTCGACCGAAGTAGTCTATGATTACCAGCGCCGACTTCGTCGGTCTCCCGAGGCAAAACCAGGCACAAAATTTTTGATGCAACTTGTCCAACGACGTCCACTTTAGTTTCTCACATAGAATGTGCCATGCTTCCACCATCTCAGAAGTTTGGACGGGTTCCTCTTCGAATGGTTCCCTCTTCAGAAGTTACTCCAACCCGATAGGGCATGCCTGTACATCCTTCATCAGTGTGTAGAGGTACCAAAAGTTCGACCGTGTATCACAACAAATCTGAAGGGGTCCGTCTTCCGTACTTTGCCATGAAGGGATTTCCCCATCTGGGGCAACATCATTTTCGAGGTGCAGGTAGTCACGGTCCACAACACAACGCCCAATGTCTTCCAAAATGTTCTTTGACAAAATGATCAAATCGGTGTCCGGCGCTGAGGAGTTCGTACTCTGCGACGAAGTACCGATATCCATTCTACATCAGCGGAGAAATGCAAGGAAGCGCGCCAGTTGCAATTCTCCCGAGTGCATAAAAAATAACCGAGTGCATAAGCAACAAATACAGGATCTTGATGTGCACGAAATGGTTCGATAACTGAGAATTTGTTCGCTCTTCGCAAGAGAGCGGAAGTTCTATAACCGCCTTTTAATCTCGACTTATTTTCTACACGTCATTCATGTGGTTTGATAAGTGAGAATAAATTCGCACTTCGCAAGCGAGCGCAAGTCCTGCAACCGCCGCTTAATCTTGACTTATTTCCAACACGTCATTCATGTGGAACGGTCAGACTACTCTCCTATTGAGGATCACTTTCCTTACACATATTCAGGATGTCCGTTGCGACAGTACGGACAGTCGTACACATCATGGGTCGTCGAGAGACGGTATTCCTCCTCTTGAAAAACAGCCTCTAAGTTGCGGTCCCTATCTTCCACTTTCCATGAAATCTCGTCACAGTTATCGAAAAGGTAGTGCAACTGAGAGTGCACCAAACAGTCGACTCTGAAGTTGATCTCCTTCCTTAATGCCGCATTGTACGATAACCGATCTCTGAAGCGTCTGAGCGCACCCTCGACCGTGGGGTTGCGAAACGCTTGCACAGAATTGAGGGTGACTCCTCGGAACTCCTCCCTTGCAATGAAAAGCGCTCTTATGTTTCGACCGTCAACCTTCACGGCCGTGAACAGCGTCACAACCGTCGTATAACGGTTGAATACCCGAAGACGACTGTAATAATCTATGATGACCGGCGCAGGCACAACCAGTTGTCCCAGGCAAAACCAGGCACAAAGCTTTACTTGCCTCCTATCTGCGTCTGACCAACTCTGCTTTGCACAGACGACGCGCCACGCGTCCGTCATCTCTTCAGGAGTGACAGGTTCTGGATCTCCCTCCTCGCCGAGGGGCTCTACATCAATTTCGTCTTCCAAGGAGTACAGGTACCAGAAGTTCCAACCCATATCTCCATCGACCACAAGGTCATCGGCGGTGGCGCCCATCCTCGATATCACGGGAACTTGCCCATCCGACGCAACATCCGACTCGATGTTCAAATATCGTCGTGAACAGTTCACTCGCTCATACTCCCATATATTCTTGTCCAAAATGAAGAGACCGAGATTGGGAATCCGGTCTGGCGAGACGCCGTCGTGAGACGAGCTAGAAGCGCTTGCGAGGGCCGAGGTCTGGTTGGAGTTCGACCTGCATTACGTGCGGAAGCACGAGTTAGCATGTTAGCGATGACGTCCACGGAGTCTGGCAGGAATGGCAACTGCGAGTATACGCCCACTTACGCCAGTTCATAATGAAGCGAAGTCACACACATGTATTGAAAGGAGCAACGGAACGGCCTACTCGGGGTCTGATAACTGAGAATGTATTCACACTTCGTGACAGGGTGCCCATATTTCCTATTGTGGAAGGTACAAGAGAAGTGAAAACTGCGAGTATACTCCCACTCCCAATTGTGCAAGGATGATGCGAGTGCGTGAAGCACGCGACACATGCAGGGGGGACTATGTCGAAAGGGACATATAAAGTATAGGAAATGAGGGTGAGCACTGCACATGACAATAACGACGTGATTGCGAGGTCGGGAATCCGGTTTGGAGAAACGGCCTACTGGGGATCCGATAACTGGGAATAGATTCGCACTTCGTTACAGGGTGTCCGTACTTCCAATTGTGCGACGGACAGGAGAAGCGAAAATAGCAGAGCCGCAGGGTGGAAACAGTGACAACAATGACGAGTTAACTAAGACTAATGTGAACAGCACGGAAGTCGATGAACAACGAGGTTTTCCTATGAGTACAGCAACAAAGTGCGAACTAACTCGGAGTTGTGGAAATCTCAAAATACGAAGGCTCACATAGCAGGTCAGGGCGACTGGTGTCCATCGTTACAGTAAGGACAGTCGTAGATTTGTCTCCGCCTACCACCTACGAATTCCAATGTTTGGACACCCGAATGGTGATGCGAAACTTTTCGTAGAGTGTAGTCATTGTAGTTGTCATTGTGTTCCAACGTGAATAATATCTCCTCACACAATCCGAAAAGGAAGTGAAGTTGGGCATGCACCAAACAGTCAACCCTTAGATTCAATTCTTTTGCGAGCGAAGGATCTAATTTCGAATCGATCACGGAAGCGCTTCAGAGCACCCTCGGACGTGAGCTCGCGAAAGTCTTCCCTCACAAGGAAGAAAACTCTCATTCGCTTACCATCAAGCTTGGCCGCCGTGAAAAGAGTTAGTACAGGGGTGCCACGGTTGAACAAACGAGCTCGGCCATGGTAGTCTATGATCACAGGGGAACGCAACAGTGGCTTCCCGATGCAGTACCAAGCGCAAAGTTTAGCATGTTGGTCGTCCATTCAATCCCAGTCTTGTTCTAAGCGCAGTGAGTCCCACAAATCTACCATATCTTCGACATCGAGGTTTTCTTCCTTACTTGATAGCACTTCCCAAAGTTGGACTTCTTCTGAACTCCAGTAGAGGTACCACATATTTGACCCTATCGAGAATTATTGAAGTTTGTCTATCAACAACACGAGTTTCGGGTTCAATATAACCGTCGAGGACGACTCCAGCTTCGACATGCAGATAATTGTTGTCAAGACTGACCGTTCCTCGTGCCCAAATATTTTGTTCACGATGATAAGATCCCTGTCCACATTCTCGATCGAAAAGGAATACTTGCTCACGTACGACAAGGTTTCGTAGGACGATGATGCGCTGTCGTCATCCATCCTACAAGACAAGAAATAAGAATCAGTTCGCAGTTAACGTCTCGTCATTATCTTTGCGGAGTTCGTAGCTAACAAATCCGAATCAGTTCGCATTTCACTAAATGGGCACGTCGGACGGACCAGAAAGACAGCCATCCCCCAAGGCCACAAGTGCTTTCTCGCAGACGGATGTCGGTATCGTAAGGCCTCTCACAAATTTGCTTTCATCCGTTCCTTTGCGGAAGGGTCTTCTCCAGGAATAAGCCACGGTTTCGGCACGTTGCCATTGTTCCTCGTCTGAAGTGGAAAGTTTCCACCTCTTCGTCCAAGCGCCAGAGTACCTCTCGCGAAGATCGGACGAGCGACCTGTAGGCACCCACCACTGTATACATAAACAACCGAAATGAGGAGAGGAGCGGTCGTCCACAACCTTAGACTGTGCTCTACCAACCCAAAATGGGACACCTTGAGACAATTCCTCATCGGGTGGCCTAACAATCACAAAATCATCTTTGTTTATATGACGCCGAGGGTCGAAGTCCACTTTTGGACGGCCCGCCCTCGGTCCTACATATATAAGCGAAACCTCTGGCGAAGGAGGGTCGGTTTCTTGAACATCCTCCACAGTTCGGACTGATTGTGGCCAGAAGACGTTAGGGTAGATCTCGGGCTCGTCCGCCCCGATGACATCCTCTTCCTCACCCTCTCCCGTCTCCTTCTTCTTTTGCTCTTGGATCATATCGTCCACCTCGACGAAGATGGCTTTCCAGTAAGACAAAGCATCCTTCCACTTGTCGACCTCCTGCTTCCTATATGTTTGCCACATGTGTCTATGCTGTTCGAGGACGTCCAGGAATTTTTGGACACTGTCACGAGCTATCCGAAAATCCTCTTTAACGACATAGGGAATAACACATGGTTGTGGAGGGGAGGTAGGGCCTGCATACTCTCCATCGACAACCAGGAACCAGTGAACTGGTCTGCCTTCCGGCATCCATTCCGCATTGGTGCAGTACTTTTTGTACACTATGACGAGAATATGAAGAATTTGAAGAGATGCGGTTTCAACACGCCGATGATGCTTTTGTCGACGTATCGATCCACTACCCGGCGCCAATCGGCAATGTGATCGAGCTCGGTGAACTTCGGTGGTATCTTGGGCGACGACTCGATAAGCGAGAACAACTGCTTCATGGTGTAAGTATCGTTGTCCTTCAACTTTTTCGAGAAAACACTAAAAGTCGCGTCTATGTCGGTATGAATGTGGCCAACGAGCATGAACTGCACTTCAACATCTTCGAAAATCCCGAATGTCACCAGAAGAGAGGCCAAACACATAAGGTATTGGTTTTTGTTTTCCCTCCAGCAATTGTCCGTCTGGATTCGGAAGTGGCGTGGCCATTTCTGTCCCGACGCCTGCAACTCACATAGAGTCCGCACAATGCACGTCATGGTACCATCAGAACCGTGCGCATAGAAAGGCAAATACGTGTAAACATAAATGGACGGTTTCCTGCCGTGAGCTACAACTGCGGTTAGGTTCGTTTTCATCATCATGTCGTGTCGATGATCCTCGGAGTAATTATACATGCCAATGTGAGGAATGGTTGTTTTTTTCTGATCCATTCCATCCACTATAAGACAAAGGTATTCTGCGGGGTTCAAAATGGAACGAAGTTTCCAATCAGCGTAATTCGCACGGTAAGCGACCTGATCTAGTTGGTGTTTACGGTGCCTTTCGTCAAAATCCTTACGGTCACGAAGGCGACGGGCGTTATCTCTGGCATGTCTAAGGCGGACGCACTCGCTAAACTTTGTGAACGAGTTGGATTTGGCAAGGTCGGCATGCCACAAGTACTTCCTCCATATGGAGTAAAAGACTTGTTCCGAAACGACGGTCTGACCCGCCGCTTCCATGTCCGCCTTGATGGACTCGTAGACAAAGAACTTCGTAAAATAAGCAGGGAGCCTAACTTTAGGTCTTTGTGAGGTTCCCCTCACAACCATTTCGTTAGGCATAGCATCTCCATGTTCTTCCACAAACCTTGTCACAGAAGCCAGCATGCTCACATACTCCGGTCTCGGGTTCAACAATCCCCATCGACCATGCCGGCCACGGGCGACCCCGTCTGACTTGCACTTGCTATAACGACGAAATGTGTTTCGGCATATCCCTATTATTTTATACCAACCAGCGATGCACACACAGCGTTTGCAGTGCACTGGTTCGACTCTTTCCAGACCATCGTCGAGGATAGTGAAATTGTGAAGGGTTTGCATCCACCACTCGATCCTCCTTTCGAGGGACATTTCGTAATAAGCTTCGTGCACCAGTTTGATATCGTCAATGGTCAAGACCCGAAGACACTTTTTCTTACAACATTTGTGCGTTGGGACGAGCGCGATGTTAGTTTCATTCAATCGACATTTGGCCCTCTTCGAATGTTCTGACCTGCTAACCGGCCTAGTTTTCCGATTATATCTTCTCCTTTCTCCAGGTAGGGGATGAGACAAAACCTGAAGGACTGCTTCGGGAGTTCCAGGGTGAGTTTTTGTCGGGGACCGATGCGCTGTTTCTATGAATTCAGATCTGTCTGTGGGAGCGGTCCTTGGCAAATCAGATTGGGAGAACTTAGATAAACTGTAGAAATTTGTGTCTACAAAACCAATCTACCAATTTTCCATTGCACATGTGACTGTATTCTTCCACGAGTCAATTTTTCCGGCTTCACATGCAATTCTCTTACCTATCTCTGCACTTTCACACGAACGTTCCGTTGCCTGTTCCTGATCATACGTGTTTCTATCGGACGTGCCACACTGTTCCCGATCAGATCCATTTCTATCAGGCATACCGCAGAAGTCTGTATCCACCAACGAGCGACTGTAGTCAAATGCTAGGGTTGGGTAACTTCAATGCTTTCACACAGTCTACCCGTTGTCCGCACGATATCTGATCCAATCGTATCGGACACACCACAAAAAATTGGGTCCACGAACATCAATCCACCAGGAAACGTCTCCATATCCTGATTACTGTCACTATCGGGGATTAGCGCTGTAGATACGCGCTAACCACCGGGAACGTCGGTAAAGCGAACAAAATGCCGACTGAACGTCGTAGAGGAGCCTGAATGATTCGTCGGGGTCAACATCGAGAACTCCCTTTCAAATTGCAAGGCCGTTCAGACGGAGCTTCCGGGCTGCTGTCATAAGAACTACGTTCTCGAACATCGTCTTCTCCACGTTGTCGTGACAGTGGTGGTGGCGTGACATAGGGGACGGTTTGGACACCCATTTGAAGAGACGATTCACACGAAAACTGTACAACAAGAAAATCACGTCAATGTATAACGAGGTCAGGAAAATAAAGAAGAGGGAGTAAAATCGCATTTCTAATATTTATCACAAAACAATGGAACAAGAGTATTTGAATCCATTTTGTTTTCTCGGGCTCCTGTAATCCATGTATGTGCGAGTTTATTCGCTCTTTTACCAACCAAGGACGTTGTGGCACTTCCAGACCCTGATTTGAAGGTCAAGTGGTATCTCAAGTCCGACTCCTCTCCCACTCATTCTCTTGTGCTGGTTGAAGGACTGCTCTTCCTGATAGTTAGTTTAATGTGCACGTGGTTTGGATAAGTACGAGTGAACTCGCATTTTTTCTCCCACATAGACTAAGGGGCGTACTTGTATCCAGGCGAGAGTACAAGTGCGAGTTGATTCGGACTTAATCACCGTACAGTTAGAAATAAGGTTCCTAGATGGTCAAAGAGACTCAAGTCCGACTCCTCTCCCACTCGTTCTCTTGTGCTGGTTGAAGGACTGCTCTTCTTGATAGTTAGTTTAATTTGCAAGTGGTTTGGATAAGTCCGAGTGAACTCGCACTTTTTATCCCACATAAATAAGGGGCAGGCGAGAGTACAGTGCGAGTTGATTCGGACTTATTCACCATACAGTAAGAAATAAGGTTCCTGGATGGTCCAAGAGAGAATAAATTCGCACATAGAAAAGTGCGTCTCATTGAGGGGCGACCACAACTGAGAGCTGACTTGGACTTATGCCCTATACAGTTGGAAATAGATTCGTGGTTGGTCCAAAAAAATATATACTCGCACATTGAAGGCGTAGCACGAAGATCATGAAAAGTGCGAGTACATTCGGACTTATTCACCATACAGTGAAAAATTAGGTTCCTGGTTGGTTCAAGAGCGAATATATTCGCACATAGAAAAAAACTACAATTTTTTTTCGCCGAGAAGAAGCGCGAGTTTACTCTAGTTTTCCGATTTCAAGATCGAGAGTACAAGTGCAAGTTAATTCGGTTTTATCCACCAAACAACAAGAAATTTAAGGGCATGGTTGGCTCAAGTGCGAATAAACTCGGCACTTCAAACGAGCATTTCAATTTCGTCGTATAATAAAAAATTACCTTCCTGGTTCGCAAATAGAAAATGACTTCTTCTTTTTTTAGGCCGAGAAGAGGCGCAACTTTACTGCTCAAGTGTTTCGATTTCGAGACTGGGAGTACAAGTGCGAGTTAATTCTGACTTATCGACTATATAATAAGAAATTTAGGGGGCTGGTTGGTTCAAGAGTGAATAAATTCGCACTTGAAATGAATATTTCGATTTCGAAACTGAGGGTACAAGTGCGAGCTGATTCAGACTCATTCGCACGTAGAAAATGACTCCATTTTTTTCGTTCGAGAAGAAGCGCTAGTTTACTCGGATTTGTTCACTACACTCAGTCCAAATTCGAAACTGCAGGCATGGAAAAAGATGGTGCAGCGATGGAGATAGATGGAGAAAGATGAGGCAGCGATGGAGATAGATGGAGAAAGATGAGGCAGCGATGGAGATAGATGGAGAAAGATGACGTAGTATTTTTTTAAGATAGATGGAGAAAGATGGCGCAGCGATGGAAAGATAGAGAGAGATCGCGCGCCGATGGAGAGACGGCACACCGATGAAGATAGATGGAGAGAGATCGCGCACCGATGGAGAGAGATGGCGCACCGAGAGAGATAGATGGAGACAAAGCGATGGTTAGCGATGGCATCTTTCGGTCTAAAGACAACTATAATGAACGTACGGGGAAGAAGGTAGATGGCGCAGCGAGGGAGAGAGATCGCGAACTGATTGAGAGAGATCGTGTACCGATGGAGAGAGATGGCGCACCGATGGAGAAAGATGGCGCATCAATGGAGATAGCAGGCGTAGCGATGGTTAGCGATGGCACACCAATGGAAAAAGATGGCGCACTGATGGAGATAGAAGGAGAAAGATGGCGCGGCGATGGAGATAGATAGGGAAAGATGGCACAGCGATGGAGATAGATGGAGAAAGATGGCGCAGCAATGGAGATAGATGGAGAAAGATCGGGAGAGATGGCGCACTAGTGGAGAGAGATGGCGCACCGATGGAGAAAGATGGTGCACCAATGGAGAGAGCAGGCGCAACGATGGTAAGCGATGGCGCACCGATGAAGATAGATGGCGCAGCGATGACCAAGATTAGTTATTGAACAACATCATTTAATGCCTAACTAATGTTGATCTAGAGATCAGTTTAATAAACAGAAGTATTCATCAAAGTGAAATCCATCGCGTTAAACCTTCATTAGGCATACCTGACACTTGTTTCGTGCGATTCCACAATGATGGGCGGCTACACCGACGGTGGACTAAAACAATAATACAATGGCGATGGAGGGAGCCCAGTGATGGAGAGAGATCGCGCAGTGATGGAAAGAGATGGAGAGTGATCACTCAACGATGGAGAGAGATCGTGCGGCGATGGAGAGAAATCGCACAGCAATGGAGAAGAGATCACGAAGGAGCGATGGAGAGATATGGCGCAGCGATGGAGAGAGTCCGCGATGAGCGATGGAGAGAGATGGCGCGAAGATGGAGAGATAAAACGCGAAAATGGAGGGAGATCCCGCAGCGATGGAGAAGAGATCATGCAGGAGCGATGGAGATAGATGGCGCGGCGATGGAGAGAGTCCATGATGGAGAAAGATGGCGCAGCGATGGAAAGAGATGGTGCAGCAATGAAGATAGATGGCACAGCGATGGAGAGAGATGGCGCAGGAGATGGCCCAACGAATCAGCGATGGAGAGTGATGGCACACCGATGAAGAGAGATGGCGCCCCGATGGAGAGAGATGGACACTGATGGTACACCAATGGAAAGCGATGAAACACCTATGGAGAGAGATGGCGCAACGATGAGAAAAATGGCGCAGCGATGGAAGGGATAACAATGGCCAGCGCTGCGATGACAATGATAATGATGGCCAGCGCTGCAATGGGAGCGATAACGATTGTCAGCGCTGCGATGGTCAGGCGAGCGTGATGGCTGCGATGAAGGATATAGCTTTGCGCCCCGATGACGATGAGCTAAGAGCATCGATGGCGATGGCACATGGCGAGTGTTGGAATGGATTGCGGACTTTCAATATCCAACGCCGTTGACATTTGCAAAATGTCCCAATGACTGCGAGACCAGAACTTATAGATTTACAGTGTTGACCTCGGCGCGCAACGAATCGTCGCGACTCGGTGCGCAATGGACCGTTGCCTTGCCTCGGCACGCAACGAACCGTCGCACCGGATTTTTGCGCCTGACCTCGGGGGGGTAACGAAGCTCCACTTTGTACGTCGGATCATGCCGATCGACGGTCCAGATTAGAACAACGAAAATGACCTTGCATGTCTCTTATTTTCTGGAAGTGTCATATCAATGCACGCCGGAGTTGGCGGAGATCTTAGGGCCTCTGGCATGTTAGTGGCTTCGTTAATCTGTGCCATTGAAAATTGTTGATCGACGGCCGACAATTTCCGGTACTTCTGAACTTTCGAGGCCCAACCTGCCCTTACCGTTTTACAGGCCATGGCGTCTTATAGGCCCTGACGTCTTATAGGCCCTGACGTCTTATAGGCCCTGGCGTACGATATGCGAATCGATACGGCCCCTCCTTAATCCCGACGCTAGGCCTGCTGCCGGAAAGTATAAAAGGTGTTGCCGCCCTCGTGTTATCCCTTTTGTTGTTTGGCAGCTCCACAGGTCAAGTCGCACTATAGCTTCCGCGCACGTTTTGATATCTTGTCTTCACCCGCCACCTCCTTCCGCCACAGCCAGTTTGCTCTTCCTAGCTCGATTCGCTCCTTCCGCCACCTCCTTCCGCCAACGCCGCAGTTGCTGCATGGTGTTCGGTTCGCTCTTCGTAGCTCGATTTCCATTCCCCATAGCCGGTTCGCTCTTCGTAGCTGGATTTCCATTCGCCATAGTGGCTTCGCTCTTCGTAGCTCGATTTCCCTCCACCATAGCTGGTTCGGTCGTCGTACATCCATATCCGTCCGACGTTGGTCGTTCGTGCAATGCACAACGATCTCTATGTGCGCGCTATAACGCCGCAGTTGCCGCATGTTGAACCCCAAATCAATTCCCAGTTTTGTTGTTTCGCAGCTCCAGAGGTCCGGTCGTGCTATCGCCGCCGCACATGTTCTGATATCTTTTCTTCACCCTCCACCTCTGTCCACCATAGCCAATCCGCGCTTCGTAGCTTGATTACCTTTTGCAATAGCTGAACCAATATCATACACGCTATGAAGCTGCCATGATATTTTTTGTATAAAGTTGCTCGATTCCCTTCACAACTTATAATCGTCAGTGCCCATGGTGAACCCCGAATCAATACCCAGTTTTTGTTGAACACCGAATCAATTCCCGGTTTTCGTTCACCTGTCCCTTGTGAGATCGCCGACCTGATATATATATATCTATATCTATATATATATATATATATATATAGATATCGTCACAAACAGAACTGCCCGGTAAATCGTAGGCAGAGAGAGAGAAGAGGATAACAAATGAGGGGTTGTGACAAACTGTTTCGTCGGAGTTTCACCGACTCATCAGAAGGCTGAACCCTCAACAGTCTGCAGAATCCCCTCACTGATGACACTGTAAATGATAATCTACCTTAACCAAAATCAAAGTAGATTATCACTCACCCACAGCCCATGGCACATGGAAAACTCTACAGACTGTCGGTTCACACCCCATCACAAGCCAGCAAAACATCCACGAAAGAAGCAAAGGTCTGTCACAGCCAAAAAATACACTCCAGACAGGCCGTTGGCACCAGAGGCACAGCATGGCCGCCTAGTAACGGCCCCGACCACTGCCGCTCGACCTGACCGGAAAAAAACGTAGCAGGAAGCTAGCGAAGTCGTAGCATATATCGTCACAAACAAAACT